GAGCAGGGAGACAGCCCACAGACTGGGAAAAGTATTTGCCAACACCAGGTCTGACAAAGGTTTAACATCTTGGATCTACAAGAAACTCAAATGTGCTGAAAAGAAAAAAACAAACCACCCCATTATCAAATGGGCAAAAGATATGAACAGACACTTCACAAAGGAGGACATCCGAGCAGCCAACAGATACATGAAGAAATGTTCAACCTCACTAATCATTAGAGAGATGCAAATCAAAACCACACTGAGATACCACCTAACTCCAATCAGGATGGCATTTATCAATAACTCAAAAAGTAACAGTTGCTGGAGAGGGTGTGGCAAAAAGGGAACACTTCTACACTGTTGGTGGGAGTGTAAACTAGTGCAACCTGTGTGGAAAGCAGTGTGGCGATTCCTAAAAGCTCTGAATATCTACCTCCCATATGGACCCTGCAATACACTTAGTGGGAATATACCTTGAAAAACTCAAATCAGTCCATAAAATATATACCTGCACTTGTATGTTTATTGCAGCATTGTTCACAATAGCAAGAACCTGGAAGCAACCATGCTGCCCATCAAAAGAGGACTGGATTAAAAAAATGTGGTACATATACACCATGGAATACTATGCAGTCATAAAAAAGAACAAAATCATGAATTTTGTAGCAACCTGGATGGAACTAGAGTCTATAATACTGAGTGATCTCTCACAGAAACAAAGATCTGAGTATCACATATGCTCACTCATATAGTGGACCTTGAACATCCAATGTAATACTATAAGAAAATGACTGACAGTAGTGGGAAACTATGGGGGGAAAGGGAGATGGGATTAACGGTAGTAAATATCTGTCTGGGGACAGGGAGACACCTCTTATCAACAAGGGTTCCTGAACGAAGCATATTTGTATACCTAACCCTTACCTGTACCCCACAATATCACAATAAAAAAATTGATTATAAAAAAAAGATCGTGGAAGACTATTTCAAAACATTGTATAATAGGTAGATAACCAATAGCTATAGAATATCTGCTTGAGATCACCATTGAACCTGAAGTTGACTTTGTCTTAATTTTGAATTCCAAATTTTAAAATTTGCATCATTTGCCACATATAGCCTTGTGTAAAATATTAGATACTGGAAAATAATAATGTTTATTTGCTAATTAGGCAGATAACAAAGGTTCTGTTCCTGCCAGAAGCTGTCCCTTTGCCTTTTCCTGAGATGTCTGTAAGTTCAATGTAGGGCAGGTGAGCAATTCCTATTATAGAGAATGTTGGCTGAGTGCAGTGGCTCACTCCTGTAATTTCAGCATTTTGGGAGGCTGAAGCAGGAGGATCACTTGAGCCCAGGGGTTTGAGGCTACAGTGAGCTATGATCATGCTACTACACTCTAGACTTAATGACAGAGTGAGATGCTGTCTCTAAAAGGGAGGAGAAGGAGGAGGAGGGGGAGGAGGAATATTATAAGAAGTAAATATCTGTTGCATATTTCACTGCATTTTTGTCAAGTATAGTCATTCTGGTAATGAATAAGGTAAAGGCAACATTGATAAAACAAGTAAAAACTTGAAAGATAGACTCTTTGAAGCCAATAAAATGGAATCTTAGAGAATTGAGAGAATTTGCAAACTAAATCCCTGACCTATTGACCATGATCTGAAGTTTGAAAATGCAGAATTGATATTTTTGCCTTTCAAAAGGGTGAAGAAAATAGATTGATAAATTTCAGACTGAGAAAATAATCAAATCTTGCCAGATTCTAGAATAAGACAATTGTTTTCAGAACCTAGAAAAGAAAGAGCTAAATGCATTGCATGGATCTGGGTTTACCAAACATAATAAGATGAGATTTACTTTGCGTGGGAAACACTTTATTCACCTCTCCATGTATTCATGCCCTTTGGCATGTGTATATATCCCACCAAAGAAGTAGGATTTATTTCCACTACTCTTGACTTTGGGTTTGGCCTTGTGATGTGTGTTGTCCAATAGAATGAGGCAGAAGTGCCCATGTGTCCATTATAAGCCTAGGCCTTAAAAAGCCTGCCACTTGGTGTGTTGACTCACATCTATAATCCTGTTGTTTTGGGAGGCCTAGGCAGGAGGATCACCTGAACCCAAGTGATCAACCTGGAGTTCAAGACCAGCTTGGACAACATAATGAGACCCCATTTCTACAAAAATAAAAATAAAAATAAATTAGCCAAGTATGGTTGTGCATGCCTGTAGTCTCATCTACTTGGGAGACTGAGGTGGGAGGATTGTTTGAACCCAGGAGACTGAGGCTGCAGCAAAGTTTGATCATGCCACTGCACTTCAGCCTGGGCAGCAGAGTGATACCCTGTCTCTAAAAATAAAAATAATAAATAAAAAGGGGCCCACTATACTTCTCCTTCAGAACCTATGCTGGCTAGCCTGCTGATCACAAGAGGAAAACCAGAGGCATGTCGAGCAGAGCCACTTTACTACAGTCACCATAGCCTGGAATGAAGCCACCTAGCTAAGCCCAGCAGAGCAAGCTCAAAGAAGATGGACAAAGACCTCTTCCATCCTAAGACACATGAACTGAATACATGTTTTGCCTCATATGCCACTGCAGTGCTATGAATCTGTGTTAAACAGCACTAATGTGAATATGGAAAATCCATACACATATTCTGCTCCTTTGATTGGCAGACTGGAGTCATAAGGTAGGCAGCACTGGATATGAATGTCGATAAGTGTTGTAAGTTCGTTCCTACAACCTCAAAGATACAATGAGATGGAGAACCATAAGCTGGTCACTGTTAAAAATTAAGATATTAATGTTTGATAAATAAGAAAAAGTGCCAAGAAATATGGGTTTCTGAACTGGCTGATCACATGCAAAAGATTGAAACAGGACCCCTACCTATCACCATACACACAAATTAACTCTAAATGGATCAAAGACCTAAAAGTAAAACCTCAAACTATACGAATCTTAGAAAATGCAAGAGACATCCTTATGGAAATTGGAACTGGCAACTGATTCCTGATCAAAACCCCAAGTGCCCATGCCATAAGAGATAATATAGACAAGCGGGACCTCATCAAACTGACAGGCTTCTGCAAAGCAAAAGAAACCATCAAGAGAGTGGGGAGACAGCCAGACCACAGAATGGGGAAAAAAATTGCCAACGGTATATCTGACCAAAGCCTAACATCTAGGATCTACAAGGAACTCAGACGCACTGAAAGGAAACAAACAAACAAACAAACAGCCCCATTAAAAAGTGGGCAAAAGACATGGATAGACGCTTCTCAAAAGAAGATATATGGGCAGCCAATAGACATATGAAAAAGTGCTCAGCCTCACCAATCATCAGATAAATGCAAATCAAAACCACATTAAGATATCACCTAACCCCAGTAAGAATGGCCATTATTAATAAAACAACAACAGATGCTGGCAAGGATGCTGAGAAAAAGGAATACTTCTACACTGCTAGCAGAAATGCAAGTTAGTGCAACCTCTTTGGAAGAAAGTGTGGTGATTTATGAAAGAACTAGAAATTGACCATATGACCCAACAATCCCCCTAATGGGATATACTCGGAGGAACTAAAATCATTCTACAAAAAAAATACCTACACACACATGTTTGTTATAGCTCTATTCACAATGACAAAAACATGGAACCAACCATGCTGCCCATCGAAGCTGGATTGGATAAAAAAATGTGGTACATATACACAGTGGAATATTGCGCAGCCATAAAGAAGGACAAAATTATGAACATCACAGCAACTTGGGTGGACTTAGAGTTGATCATACTCAGTGATCTATTACAGAAACAAAGGATAGAGTACCATATGTTCTCACTCATAAGTGGACATTGAAAAATTGTCACAATACTGTAAGAAAGGAATTGGCAGTAGTGGGGATCTGCCAGTGGAAGGGGGCACACCTATTCAACAAGAGTACCTGCATAATGAACATGTGTATACCTAACCCTGAATTGTACCCCACATCTTTAAAATAAAAAAATTAAAAGTCAAAAAAAGAAAAAATTAAATTATATTAAATTAAATTAAAAAGTGGTACATATACCCAATGGAATCTTACTGAGCCATAAAGAAGAACAAAATCATGAACTTCACAGCAACCTGCATAGAATTAGAGTCTATAATACTGAGTGATCTTTCACAGAATCAAAGAGCTGAGTACCACATGTTCTCACTCATAAGTGGTCTTTGAACAACTACCGTATTACTATAAGAAAAAAGATTGAAAGTAGCAGGAAACTGCAGGGTGGGGAGGTGCGGAGTTGGGATTGACAGTAGTCGATGTCTGCCTGGGGAAGAAGAGGCACACCCCATCAATAAGGGTATCTGCACAATGAATATTTGTATACCAAACCTTGAATTGTATGCCACAATTTAAAAATAGGAAAAACAAAAAGAAAATATCATCAATTAGAACACTTTTTCATAAATTACCCACCAAACCACCCAAGGCAGTTCTAGAGAAGAATCTGAAATTCAACCCAAACTCTGCCTGGAAAACATAATTTGACCATTCTATAATTTGTTTATTTTTCTACACATATTTACGGTTCTGATAAGTTATTTATCAGAGACTGAATTTTAAGTATAACAAAAATCAGCTCAGTTCACTTTATCTCCTGATATAGTCATAAAATTGGCTCAACTTCAATCTCATATCCAAATTTCCTCAAGATGTCTGTAAACACCTGGGTGCTTCCATTCCCAAGGTCATCCCTCTTTATAATTTCATGTGTCCACTGAATTCTTGATCTAATTAACTACTTATTCCTCTGCAGCCTCTCTCCCAACAATGTTGCTCAACCTCTCTCTTCTTGACTTTCCTCCACTTCTCTAATTTCCACTTCCCCCCAAACTCCTGTTCATTTAGTCAGTACTTTGTTTCTTCTCTGCCATTTACACTCAAAACAGTTTATTAAGATATTTTGTTAAATAAATGGTTACATACTATGGTAATATGGCCATGTGATTTTAAATTGCAAGTGATTGGATTGGAATCACATTTAGACATATTTATCTGTCATTCTTATGCACAATTTCTTCTAAAAATATTTTTTATTTTTTAATTTTTATTTTAAAGATGTGGGATACAATTCAGGGTTAGGTATACAAACGTTGATTATGCAGATACCCTTGTTGATGAGGTGTGCCCCTCCCTCCCCAGCAGCTTTCCTCAACTGCCAATCCCACCCCCACAGTTTCCCACCCTGACAGTTTCCTACTACTGACAATCGCCTTCTTATAGTTTTATAATTGTTTACGGTCCACTTATGAGTGAGAACATATGGTACTTTCTTCTTTGTTTCTGTGATAGACCCCCGAGTATGACTGACTCTAAATCCATCCAATTTGCTGCCACATTCATAATTTTGCCCTTCTTTATGGCTGCATAATATTCCACTTTGTATATGTACCACATTTTTTATCCAGTCCAGCTTTGATGGGCAGCATGGTCGGTTCCCTGTTTTTGCTATTGTGAATAGAGCTGCAACAAACATACATGTACATTTATCTTTTTTGTAGAATGATTTGAGTTCCTCCAGGTATATTCCCAATAAGGGAATTGCTAGGTCATATGGAAGGTCAATTTTTAGTTCCTTCTGAAATCACCACACTATCTTCCAAAGAGGTTACACTAGTTTGCATTCTCACCAACAGTGTAGATGTCCATCCTACTAAAGGCAATCTACAGATTCAATGCAATACCCATTAAATTACCAATATCATTCTTCTAAGACCTGGAAATGACAATACAGAAATTCATATGGAAACACAAATGACCACAAATGGCCAAAACAATCCTTAACAAAAGAAACAAAGCAGGAGGTATCACACTTTCAGGCTTCAAACTTTACTCTAAGGCTACAGTAATCAAAATAACCTGGTATTGTACAAGTACAGGCATACAGATCAATGGAACAGTATAGAGATTCCTGAAGCAAAGTCTCAATTTCTCAACCAACTCATCTTTGACAAAACCTACACCAACAACCACTTTATTCAGTAAATGGTGCTGGGAAAATTGGCTGATCACATACAGAAGATTGAAACAGAACTACCTATCACCATACTCAAAAATTTACTGTAAATGGATCAAAGACCTAATCATAAAACCACAAACTGGAAACAACCATGCTGCCCATCAAAAGAGGACTGGATAAAAAAATGTGGTACATATACACGATGGAATACTACGCAACCATAAAAAAGAACAAAATCATGAATTTCGCAGCAACCTGGAAGGAACCAGAGTCTATCATACTGAGTGATCTCTCACAGAAACAAAGATCAGAATATCACATGTTCTCACTCATATAATGGACCTTGAACATCCAATGTAATACTATAAGAAAATGACTGATGGTACTGGGAAACTATGGGGGGGAGGGGGATGGGATTAACAGTAGCAAATATCTGTCTGGGGCTGGGAAAACACCTCTTATCAACAGGGTATCTGAATGAAACGTAATTGTACACCTAACCCTTAACTGTACCCCACAAAACTATAATAAAAATACTGATTAATTATTAAAAAAAAAAAGAATTGTTTATCTTTGAGAACTTTGAAGATTGGGCTCCAGTCTCTTCTAGCCTGTAATGTAAATTTGCTGCTATTCTAATTTATCTTCTCAGTATGTAGTTTGACCTTTCTTCTCGCTGCCTTTAGGAATTTTTCTTTTATACCTACTTTGTGTAAGTGAATTACTATGTGTCTAGGAGTAGGTCTTCTCAATTGATGCCTTGCAGGGGTTCTCTGAATCTCTTGTGTTTGAATGGTTGCATCTCTAATGAGATGCAGGAAGTTTTCTTTTATGACCTCGTGGAATGTTTGTTTCAAGCTGCTCTCATTCTTTTTCTGTGCTTCAAGGATACCAGTCAGGCATAAGTTTGGTCTCTTAATATAATCACACATCTCTTGAAGGCTTTATTCTGTCTTTTAAGCTTCTTTTCTATGTTTTTAACAGATTGAGTTTGTTCCATATTTTGATCTTCAAGCTCTGAGATTCTTTCTTCTGCCTGGTTAATTCTACTTTCCTTGCTTGTCAGTTTATTATTTATTTCATTTACTGTATTATTCACAGCTTGCAGCTCAGTAATTAATTATTTCATGTTTTCATCTTGTCTTTCTTGGTTCTTATTCAACTTTTCAAACCATTCCTTGATCTCTGCATTTCTGGTCTGAGACCAATAGATCTGGGCACTCTTCACTGGTTGGATTCTAAAGTCTGTATTCTTGTGCACTATCCTTTTGGGACTTTGTGGGATGCCTGTGTTTCTTTGTTGATTTCTCTTCATTTGTGGTGGATTCTTCTCTTTTCTTTACTTCCATTGCTCAGTGAAAAGTGGAGTAGCTTTCACTTCTTTTTGCTCAATCTACTACTATTCTTCCTTTGGTAAAGCCTCTGGATTTGTTTGATTTTCAACTGGGTTGTGGGTGGAAAGTTGTGCTGTCCTTTTGCAGCCTTGAGATTTGAATAAGATGTGTTGAGGAGTGCTAAGATTCACAAGTGCTGCAGGCTGGTTTTTTCATCTCCAGTGGCAGCTGTAGAGCACAGATGCTTCAGAAGGGGGATGGGACACCTGGGTTTCTTCAGTGGGCCTGTCCCTCAGGGGATATTGCTCGTGGGAGATCCTCCTTGGGTTTGTAGTGATCAGCTTCAGAGAGGTACTGAAGTCACCCCTCAGTCTTAGGGGGAAGCTCTGCTGTTCATGTGTGCAGGCCAGAGCCTGTCTCCACCTGGTTACCAAGACAAATACAATGGGGACGTCTTTGCATTTCAGCTGGGGCTCAGCAACCAGTTCCTCTCATGTGTTTTTTTTTCTGTGGTCCCTGTTGCCAGTGTCCAATCTGGTGCCGAAGGCTGTGGTGGCCAATGGTAGCAGCAGGGAGTGATTTTTGCCACTTTTTTTCAGGCAGGGTGGCAGAGTTGGTGCCTGCCTCCAGACCATGAAGCATTCTGGGGTCTGAGTGGCTGTGCAGGGCCACTGCCTCAGCAGGAGATCTCAGGCCACTGTTCCTGTGTCCCTACTCAGTCAGACACTCTCATATCGATTTGCCAGCACACTTGTCTGCATATTCATCCCTGTACCGACTCATTTATGTGGAGATTTACACACTCCAACTGATTCCATCTCTGTCTTGGAACTCTAGTTTAATGGTTTTCAGTGTTTTTTGGGTTTATGACAATGGCTATACGGCAAATAATAAGACATAAGATAAAATAAAAGAAATGTTAAAAGGTTCAATTTTATTTTAAACATAGATTGAAAGGTACGGATTCCCGCCAGATCTTGCCCTTTCACCTCGAGAAAGCATCCAGCTTTACGACACCATGTGTCAAGTTTGGAAAAGTTGGCCCCGGGCCCAGGTAAGTAATAATCATGGAATTGACATTTTTAGAGGATGATAACATTGTTGTTCACCCTCACCCTTTCTAATCACTTGCATCTGCTTTTTAAAAATTATTAGTGGATGCGAACTAAAACTTCCCTTCTCATACATCCTTTTCCTAATATTTTGTGTTTCTTTTTAATGTTTTAAATTGTGTTTTATTTTAATTCCTGAAAATATGTATCTTTTCAACTGTTGGAATACTATACTATTTTAGTCTTCTATTTGCACTTTGGATTCATATTCCCCTTTTTTTATCATTCTGGCTTCCTTCCTGTATGTACTAATAGCTGTCTGTTTTCATCTCCTACTTTCTTTTCTTTGCGTACTATCCTTTGAAAAGTTCACCCATCCTAATAGTTTCATGTGTTAGAAGTTATGAGGAGGTTAAAAGAAGTTCAGCCGTCTGTACCCTCAAAAAGCTTGTAATGCTGTCAATGAGGCATAATTGAGAAACAACTTTGAGTTTTCTTGCATGATTTTATTTAATTTTGTGATGTTTGTTTGCAAGGAACTGTGCCCAGAGAACTTTACTCATTTTCACAACAAATTAGTCATTAAAAAGTTGGATGTCAGAAAATATGAAGAGAGCTTAAAGGCAGAATTGGCAAGTTGGACTAAAAATGGCAACATAGAACAGGTAATTTTCACACATGTTTTTGGCAAAATACTCTATATTTTTATTGTTTTCTTGAGTTATATCATTCAGTTAATACCATTTTCTGTCTTTTATCGTCAACTTTTATTTTAGAATTTTAAGTTGAACATGAAATCTAGTGATTCTGAAGTCAAATCAAAGGAGGGAAAGGAAATGGCTCTTTGTCTTATCCTCGGTGTCTCTTGAAATATGTGGCAGAGGCTACCCAAGTGGTGCTAACAGACAAGAATAGGTTCCCTATCCTTAGTGATGGTATTGTTCATACCCTGGCAGTAATACTAGCTGAGAAGAATGTTTTACTCCACTTTTTTTTTAATTTGGAACTTTTTCTTTTATGATTTTTACTTCAAGTTGTAGGAACTATTTGTGTATTAAAACATTAACCTGGAATCATAGAGATTATGCATATTAATTTTAGTAATTTGATGGTCTTTCTGTTTTGAAGTTTGGTTTGTTGTCTCAAATCGAGGTTTTTGATTTTTTGGAGTGACATATATTAAATTCTCTCATTTCCCTTCCCCCATTTTACCTTAATCTCCTCCCATTCAGAAACATAAATAAGTTACATCTTCTTCCAGCTATTTAAAAATCTTGAAAATTTGTGTTTGGAGGTGATTTTTTTTTTCATGATCCAAAAAGAAGCTGATTCACACTTCCCCTCTTGCCAAAGGGGACCCAACATTGTTTGCTGAGTAGTACCTCTCTTCCTAAGTGATTTGTATTGCCTTAAAAAACTGTATATGTGTGTGTATACATTACTGCTAAATTTTTGCTCTGTAGTGTGTTGACTTGTATGTTTGTTTGATGATTCTATGCATAGCTTTATAATATTATTTCATGGGACTATTTTTAAAAAACACAAAAAAATAGACTAGACAATGATTAAGATATTTTAGCCAAAAGAAGTAATTCCTTTCTTACCTATGCAGAACTGAACAAAATGTTTTTTATTCTACTGCAGGCCAAAATGGTACTGAAGAATCTTAGTCCTAAACCAGATTTTAGTTCAGAAAATATGATTCAAATGTTCCCACTTCTCGTTGAAAAGCTAAGGAAAATGGAGAAGTTGCCTGCACTGTTTTTTTTGTAAGTTATTTAAGTTCATTTGTTTTGGCTTCAATTGTATTATACTCATTACTTTAAGGTGAGGAGGATTATATAAACTTTACTGTAGTAATTTAGTATTCATTGCTATTTCTGGTGCCCATTGGTTATTTAAATGAAGATGTTTTATTTTATTTATTTATTTTTTTTTTTTTGATTTGGAGTCTCACTCTGTCACCCAGACTGGAGTGCAGTGGCCGCTCCCGGCCACCACAGCCTCGACCTGCTGGGCTCCGGCGATCCTTCCGCCTCAGCCTTCCGAGTAGCCGGAATTACAGGCATGCGCTACCACACCCAGCTGTTTTTTTTTAACTTATTGTAGAGATGAGGTCTCGCTGCCCAGGCGGGTCTCGAACCCGCGGTCTCAGGCAATCCACTCACCTCAGCCTCCCAAAGGCGCGGGATTACAGACTGAGCCACCAAGCCTGGCTCGAAGATGTTTTATTTTATTTTATTTATTTATTTTTATTTATTTTTATTTTTTTATTTTTTTGAGTTGGAGTCTCACTCTGTCGCCCAGACTGTAGTGCAGTGGCCGCTCCCGGCCACCGCAGCCTTGCCTGCTGGGTTCCGGCGATCCTTCCGCCTCAGCCTTCCGAGTAGCCGGAATTATAGGCATGCGCTACCACACCCGGCTGATTTTTTGATTTATTGTAGAGATGAGGTCTTGCTGCCCAGGCGGGTCTCGAACCCGCGGGCTCAGGCAATCCACTCACCTCAGCCTCCCAAAGGTGCGGGATTACAGGCTGAGCCACCGAGCCCGGCTTGATGTTTTATTTTAAAAATATGACTTTCTAGTTCAAGTCTTATAAAATGTTTTCAATTATGCTATTACAAATTGCCTTCTTTATTTAATTTATTACTTTGCTTTTGTTTTCTTTGAATTATATTTTTTAGGTCTTATTAATTTTCAGTATATATCTAAGTTCTTTGCCAAATAACTGTATATGCACACAAGTAACCCACATTAAATAAAAATATCCTTACATTGACAGGGCATTTTATTATATTTAATTTACAGTAATGAGAATTATGACCTAGAGGCACTGCTGTCTTGTTAAATTGTATATATTATGGTATAACATGGCTTAAAATTGAATGGAATATTCCTATTTTGATAGTTACAACAAAGTATTTATTAACTGGATAACACTCTATATCTTGGATTAACCTTAATAGCATAATGTGGGATTCAAGGAGAATACTTTATTTACTTTAGATAATTTTAAAATACACATACGCCATGGAATCTAAAATAAATGGAGCCAAGGTTTTGCTCAGGTGGTGAAATTTAATGTAACTACTTCCTGTGTAAACAGGCATATAGGATTGAATCATCATTGGTAGTATATATCTAAAATAATGATGATAGATGAACGTAAGTTTGTGTTTGAAAATTTTGGAAATTGCAGTAAAATTACTCCTTTTACTCTTGTTACTGGGACAAAGAAAATAAATATCTATACTGCCCAAAAGTCATAGAGCTCACCTACTTTACTTTCCAGCATAGCTATAGATTTTAATTAGAAACAAAAACAAGTCTGTGACCCTGGGGTATTTCTGAAAACCTAACTGCAAAATAGAAATTCAAAAATAACTATTTATGATTCATATACTCATACACATGTAGGAGAGGCAACATTTTACCTCCACTCCCTTAGGGGGTTCCAGCTGGGCCTGAGAATTAAGTTTTAAGTGCTGCAGAAGCCTACATAAGAATGTGAAAACCGTAGATGCAATTAGAGCTGAACACTTATGTACTGAAGTGAACAAGCAGTGGTAAATTGCGCAAATATAACAAAAGGGATTAGGGTAGCTAATTGGGTGGAGACATGACTAGGAAGATAAGGGTTAGTTTAATAAGGTTTGTTTGTATAATTTCCCTTGACCCTAACTTCCCGTCCTTGAAGATAAGAATGTTAGTCTCCTTCTAACATGAGGAGAACATCTTTTACACAGATGTTTAATCTCTGACTTTCAGGAAAAAGAGAAGTCAGAGTGATCTTCTTGCACCTGCTGTTTTTCAAGTGCCTTCTACTCAAAATAGTTAATATGCCAGAGTGGCATATTTTGGGGTAGCTTGTTCTGAACTCCCTCACATACTTAACATTTTTCAAAAGTAAAATATTTCACAAAACATTGAAGGTTTGATTCTACTTGAGTTGAAGCTTGGCACGTTTCTATGGAATCCTGGGTTCTCCACAAAACAAGCTGTGAAAAACCTTGGTCTTAATACAGTTTGATTTAGTCCTTAGTAGCCCCAGATCACCAAGATATCTGAAAGATTTGTCTGGACTCAAGTTGTACCTCTGAGAGCTTTTCAAATCGTGGTATTCCCATCATCCTTCTTCAGTCTGGTTCTTGGAAAAGCCAAATGTGTGGAGCATGTTTCGTGTTTGGGGGCAATACCAGAGTGTGCTTAAGGGCACACACTTCACACCCAGGCCCAACCCGGGATCCTACCTCTGTGCCATTAGCTACGTCATGATTTTGAGCCTTAGTTTCCTCCTTTGCTAAATGAGCCAAAAAGTAATAGTACATAGGGCTGGGTTGCGAATTAAATAAAAATAAGTTATGAAAGCACTTAGTACAGCACTATAAAATATTACCGGCTAAGGTCCAATCTCTAGATTACATCCGTTCTTGAGAAAATTATCAAGTAGCAAGATAAAATCACTTCTTGTCAGATTCCAACAAAGTAACATATGCTGTGGTGAAGAACGTGGGCTTGGAAGCCCCATACAAGTGTGAGCTCAAGGGCAGATCACTTAGACTCTTCGTGTCTCCATGTTTTTATCTGTAAAATAAGGATATTAACAGTGCCTTCTTCATAGGATTGCTGTGTGTATTAGATGAGTAGATAGTTCAGCCTCTTAGGACAGTGTCTGACAATTTAAGTGTCATATAAATGTTTACTGTTGTTATGTTATTGTCTATTACATAAAATTTCTTGCTGTGTAGCATAGACTGTCATGTTTTAAATCCTTACTTCAACAGTGTGTCAATTTATTTCCTTTTCACTGGCTGAGCACGTTGCCTTTTAATGCTAGATCTACAAAAATCACAAGATTTTTTTAATGTTCCTGTACAGACCAACCTATGATTTGCTATAATAGGTTTTGGTTAGTGTAGTTGGCTATTTCAGCCCCAGCATTTTTGCCAGGAAGGGAAAATAAAACTTCCATGAATTGTCCAGTGCTCCTTCGACCGAAGAAAATGCATGCACTCTAAACGTATTAAATGTTTGCTTTTACTTCTTCTATAGAGACATTTCACTCTTCACGTAGCATGAGAATTTGGTCTGTGACCATTTTAATACATTGCCCAAGGAATAACATCTGGGTTGGGGGAAGCTTGTTATTTGCTTTATAGTGGTTAGCAAGCAGTCTGCTGATCCAGTACACCTAGTGTGCACCTTCTGAATAAAATTCATAAAGATGGATATTAAAAACCCAACAGAGTGGCAGTAGTGGGAAACTGTCAGGGAAAGGTGGGATTGGCAGTTGAGGGAAACGGCTAAGGGAGGGAGGGGCATACCTCATCCACAAGGGTACCTGCATAATCAAAGTTTGTATACCTAACCCTGAATTATTGTACCCCACATCTTTATAATTAAAAAAAAAACCAACAGATATATGTCAGGGTAATAGTGGAAAGTGGAAATAGGCTTTGAGTTATATTTCCAATATTATTTTCAAGGCACACATCCTTTTCATTTGTTTCCAGGTTCAAGTTAGGAGGTGTCGAAAGCGCAGCTCAAAGTGCGAGCAATTTCCTGAAGATGAAGCAGGAGCTAAAGAGGCCTCCCAAGGCTGATAAAGAAGCCCAAGAGATGGCGAACAAACTTCGAAAAGTTAAAAAATCCATGGAGAAACAAAAAATAATGTAAGTATTTCAACAGAGTGGTCAGTAAAGGGTTAAAATATTTCACCAGTCTCGGTAGGAAACATACATTGAATGTGCTCCGCAAAGACGTTCTAGTTATTGCTTGGACTTATTTGCGAGTTGAGTGCTTCTGGGTGGGAGAATGGGGCCCTAGGAGCCACACTTCAAGTTGGATTCATCACCAACAAGGCAAACTGTAAAAAGACAGGGTGTCTTGGAAGGCGGAGGCGGAAGGATCGCCTGAGCCCAGCGGGTCGAGGCTGTGGTGGCCATGAGCGTGCCACTGCACTCCAGCCTGGGCGACAGAGTGAGACTCCGATCCGAAAAGAAAGACAGGCTGTTTTAATGTCTTAGTCAGCACCATCCCTACACTGAGGGTGAGGGCCTGCCTGGGGCCCGGTGCCTTAGAGGGTGCCACTCGTACCCTCCTCCGTGGACTTCCGTTTGCCTTCAATGAGGAGTCCCTGGAGCTAAGGAGAGGTGCCCAGCCGGGGCTCCCTCTCACCCTTTTAAGTTCCAGCGTGTGGTGCAGCTGTGTTTGTCAGGATAGGAGAATAGAATCGATTTAATTTTTTTGACAGTTTGTTGCCTTGGTTTAAAACTTATGTCAGACAGTCCTATGGATCTCCAAGCGTGCTTTGCCCCATGCTCCTGCAAATATCAAGACTGGGCTCTCCCCCAGTCAGAGCACTCTCCCAGGAGGTAAAGGCCTTGTTAGTTACAGGTGAGAACACTAAACGACAAAATGCGTGAGCTCATCTGCTCATACGCAGAGCTGTCTCGGGTGCACAGTTAAGAGACAAACGACAAACCAAAGAAAAGGAGAGTGGTGTGAGTGCACGTGAAAGGCTGTGACGCTGAGGGTGATGAATGGTGCCGTCTTATGACGAGGGACCAAGCCGAGACTGAGAGAGGAACGCTGTGCTGTTGAGATGAGGACAGCTGTGTAAGTGACTTACTGAAGGGGTGTGCTCCTGAGAGACCTGTGAGAAGGTGGGGGACGCAGGAAAGGGAAGGCGAGGAGAAGCAAGGATGTGGTTCTGCTAGGGTAGAGCCTGAGCCTGGCTGCACTGGAAACTCTGGGGCACCAGAGAGTTGCCCCACCGTGAGTTGAGGGACAGTTTTTTATTTTCTGGTCTTGAGTCGGATTCTCACTCCGTCACCCGGGCTGGAGTGCAGTGGCATGCTCACGGCCACTGCAGCCTTGACGAGCTGGGCTCAGGCGATCCTTCTGCCTCCGCCTTCCAAGTAACTGGAACTACAGGCATGCGCCACCACGCCTGGCTTCTTTTTTGATCTATTGTAATGACACGGTCTTGCCAAGTTGCCCAGGCTGGTCTCGAATCCCTGGGCTCAGGCAATCCTCTCGCCTTGGCCTCCCAGATTGCTGGGATGACAGGCTAAGCCACCGAGCCTAGCCAAGGGACAGTTTTATACACCTCAAATCAGTCAGCCATTGACTATGGGCCGTCTCCCCACCCAGGAGAGCTTGTCACAACCCAGGCAATTCCAGGGAGCCTCTGTCAGTTTGGGGAAATCCTTCAGGGATTGATGCAGCCGAGAACCTCTAGCACCTGAATTCAGAGCAGCTGTAGCATCCACTGTCAGGAGGGAAGAAACGGCGTGGAATGGGCAAGGGAGCACAGGGGCACATGCCTTACTCCAAGTTCAGTGTCGTGAAGGCTGGGGAAGAGGAAGTGATCGCCACTCGGCAAGGAGGAGGGTCATCTGGGGGGAACTGAATTAGGCAAGAGGGCCACAGCCGCAAGGAAAGGGAGCATCATAGAAAACGTGAATATATGGCAGACTTTTTTCATGAGGTATCTTAAGTTCCAGAGGCTGAAGAGGAGGACGTTAGAGGAAGAAGACGGTGTCGTGATAGCATAGATGCACAGCAGTGGAAGTCCGGGGGCAAGGGTGATTTGGGAACCCCCAGGCTTCTCATGGTGGAAGCATAACCAACGAAGCAATTCCCTAATTTATTGATTACGTTCAAGTCCATTCATCAAAATTACGTTTTTATGAACAGAGATGAAAAAAGCCAGAAAAAAACCAGAAATATGGATCAAAGCCTAATCCGTGAAGCCGAGCATGATACTCTGCTGAAGAGTCTGGAGAAGAACTTGGCGATCCCTCAGGACTGCACATACGCAGATCAAAAAGCAATTGACACCGAGGTCAGCCCGTAGAAGGGACAGTTCTCCGGGAGAGTATTTTGTTCATCAGCCATCGCCTTCTTGGTTGTAGACCGTGTTGAACATAATATTTGCATAGTATATTATGCCACAAGTGTGATCCTCACCCAAAGAAAAATCTCCGTGTAGAACCTTCTGGTTGGGTCTAACTCTTAAGGCTGTATAGCATGCATACAAAAAGGATGGTTTGGGGATCGGTAGCTTATTTCTTGCTGGTTAGTATTCCTCTCTGAGAACATCTGCCCTTTCATTATCTCCTTCCGTCATTGTTTTCATAGCCTGAATCCTAGATGTCAATCTCACGTGCCTCATTTGAAAATAGAGTGAGTGGATTGCCTGAGCCCACGGGTTCAAGACCCGCCTGGGCAGGCGAGACCTCATCTCTACAAGAAATCAAAAAATCAGCCGGGCGT